CTCATCACAAAGTGAACTTCGAAGATTCTAGGCTTTTCATATCTATCCCATACTATCATCAACATTAAATACCACCCTAGTTCGTATAGTAAATAAGGCACGAAAAATCCTAGTTGAGCATCTGCTAGGTTTTTAGGTAGTACTGCCTAGTTTTGAGAGGCCTGCTCATACTAGTAATTCTCACAACGACTTGTACCAATCGCAATCCGCGTTTGCGATACGTGGCACCAAATGTTTCGCTGTCGCTGTCATGCTATTAGCCAGCGTGTCTTCTAAGTCTTTTAGTTTCTCCATGAGGAAGTCACGGACGCTTTCTGCGCTATACAGACGTGCAGCCACATCTTCCTTTTCAGTCTGCACCTGAGCGAGATGAGCCTGCGATAGAAACAAAACTGAGATTTATCTGTTATAACAGTGACGTACGCACAGGCATTGAACCTCTAATGTCTTCACTCTAGTTGACATATCGTGGAATAACTTGATCTGGTCAGGCTTAAGTGCTTTCACGATCGCGTCCACCTTCGAGAGCTTCAGCATAAAGCACACTATTAGCATAACTGATAAGTCGAACATAACAGCTACAGTAGTTACCTTGTCCTTCTCTGACGACCCGATGAAGCTGAGACTTCGGCCCTTCGACGTCTTTCTAGGTGGAGGCGATGCAGGTCGCTTAACTGGAGCTGGGGGAGCGCTGTAGGCCAAGCTGGAAGGCGTCGTGACTCCAAACATCACATTCACTCGCCTCACCAGCACTTTATCAGTGACGCTAATTGCGACCATACTGTCCTCGTCCAAGAAGGAAAACAGCTTGAGCATCACGTTGTCTGGTAGTGACGAGAAGACGTTCTCCTCGTCATTCATTGATGCAGACAATCCTCCGGGGACTGACTTAGCGCGTGCAGGTCTACCATTGCCACGTGGCTGTATCCTCGAGTCCGACACAAGCTTCGCAGGTTTTGAGTAGTTTCTCCTGAGAATATACTGGATGTCGTTCGCTCTCCGTAACTCACGAATTTCTCGCTGGGCACTAGCTAGCTCTTTCGAGAGCTGCCCTGTTAATTTTAAATGCTCCTTCGCCTGCTGCAGCTCCTTCTCCATCCTGTCAAGGGTATCAGTTAAAAACTCCAGCTTTAACAACTCTATGACATTACGTACACTTCCTTCTTGGCGAGCTCCGAGACAACAACCGACAAGTGTTCATTCAGCTTGCTCATGATTGTTCTGCCCTCTTGCTCCACTTTCACCGCATACTCGTACGCCTAGCCAGTATAATCCACTATTATACTAATGATACCAGCCTTACTCCTTCTTGTTCAAGGGGGCCGACCTGCTGCCTCTCCTGTATCAGCTCGCTCTCCCGCTCTTGATACTCCAGCAGGGAACTCTCTGCATACTATGCGTCGCATTCAGACTCGCATGTGCTCGCACTCTCCAGTGGTACACCTCGGTCCAGCAGTTCGGCACCGGGGGCCACATACCTAGCTTAAAATTTTCTTGCTTTTTTAAACCATAACTAAAAAACTCTTTTTAACACTTACCTTCGGGGGAAACACCGGGGCGGTTGTGAGCCACACTGGCCCCTCTTCTTTTTAGGTGGGGGGGGGGGGGCCGGCGCACAGGCCGGCTCGTGCGCACCAGCATCGCTGGTATCCTTTCGATTCCGTGAAATGCATCAGCTTTGGTTATTAATAACATGTTTCTAACAAATAACTGATACGTAAACCTATCCAAACCTTTAAGTTAGCATATACAATGTAGCTATGTGGATACGAAATTTTGACAAACCGCTGTCGCGTGCAAACATGTATAGTCGTGCTGGATCGTTAGCCTACTGAATGTTGATGTAGCTTAAAAGATTCTGAGTCTGATGAGTGGCAAGGCTTCTTTTTTTTAATTCACCATTGCTTTAATGATTTTGTTACATTGGGTTGATCGTCACATGGCAGGCCACTTTCTGGTATTTCTATCCCTGTGGCAAAAACCAAAGAGCTGCTTCGTGGACCTGAAGAAGCTTGCAAGTGGGTTCCTATGCACGAGCGTTGTGATACTATCAAATAGAACTTTAATAAGCGGAAGTTGGTGAGGATTGCCTTTTCAAGCAAGAGTAAAGGTAGCTTTTTGGCTTGCTTACAACATGACGCTTTTATAAAACGCAAAAGTTATGGTCGAACCTTACCCGTAGACGATATTTATGAAGCATGACGCGGAGCATTTTGTTGTTGTACAACGGTACTGTGTCTGGGCAACATTCTAAGTGATATTGGTAAAGCGATTGTGGCAATGTTCATAACAGCCTTTCAGTGGGAGTCTGATATGGCTGTATACAAGTGACTTAGATTCGATGGTGTGTCCAAACGACTGAGCAAGGTAATGCTCCGAGAGGCTGCAGCTGCTGCAGCAAGTAATGGGCATATTCACGTGTTGTTTCGAGGAAGTGAAAGGCCCTAGCATTGGAAAATTGATATAGAAGCGCGTTTCTGGCGACAAACGACTAGAAATCATATGCAGAAGCTGAAAAAGAATGCTAAACTGGACATGGGGAAATAGTAGTACAGATTGCACAGTCTCAGCAACAACAGTCGAACGGTGTCTAGGCCCAGCGTCAAGTTTATCGCTCAAAATGACGCTGCGGCTACCGTCGCATGATATCACTGAGAAGAAAGGGTAAGAA